TTTGTGGCGTGTCAAAAGTGTCAACAGTCACAGGGATCAGGCGGGTCGCGGTCGCCATCCTCGTAACTGTCATCGTTTTTGAGCTCTCATATCGCGAGGAACCCCCCGAGTGGAGCCAACGTTAGGAAAAAATACAGCTGGAGCCAACGTTAGGAAAAAAAAACACCTCCGCCCCGCTTTCCGGGAGAGCGCTGATGCTGAGTCCAAAGGGCATCATATCGAGGCTTGAGGCTTTGGAGCCTCCCGCTCATGAGCCAGGCATGGCAGCTTCTATCATCCCAGTTCAAGGACCTTTCTAGATGCTTTCTATTCTACGCTCCTGCAAGTAAACGAGTGCATTCCTGTGCCACACCATGTTATAGGTCGAACTATTTCACCACCCTATTGTAGTTTTGCCTTTGGACGGCATGGTGAACCTTTTTCAGGTCTGGTAGCACCAGTGTAACGTCTCGTGTAGATGTGCGTCTATTGAAGACCACCGTAATGTCTTGCGTAGGTGTGCTTCTATGCTTACGTAATGGTCTAGCAGAGCCAGGAAGATCACGAGCGACCTTTTGGTCCAGTCATTGCAGCCCTTTTTGAAGGCGCGATGGGCAACAGTTCTTGGCCGTCGATCGGCAATTTTTAGCTATGGTTGATCCTGCGTTTGTGGAGCCGGGTGGCAGACAGGTTCAGGGCTGAGGCAAGTTCACATTTCGGGTTCTCCAACTATAATGTACAGGAAAATGGGTCACAATTCGGGAGTTGCGATTACAAGCACGAAGTAAACTATGAAAGACTGTGAACAAGAGCTGAGAAGATGTATAAACGGATGCCCATGGCGGTTCAGCTCCCTGTGAAAATTTGGGCCCCTCTGTAGCAGAGGAGCCACATGCGAACGATCTCCGCATTCACAGAATAAGGCCTTTGAAGCCTTGATACCCTTGATTCCTGGAAGAATCTTCGAGTGAATCCAACGATCTGAGTCGTCCCTGCCCCAGGCTCATGCAGAGGGCAATACAGACTACTTCCAAGGTGTCTGGGCATGATCTACTAAGTTACTAAGCCTTAGCTGTTCGAAGTGGAAAGCTACAGTCTTTAAAGCAAGTTTTCATTCTGTCAACCAGTCCCTCCGGCAGCAGCGATAGTAGCGTGCAGGACAAAAACGGGCACTCGGGCAGGACGAAGTGTGCAAATCATCTAATGGTGCTAGCGAAGGCCTCCATCCGATATGACACCTGAAGTTACCTTCCCCAAGCTGGATGAACCCAAGCTAGTTCAGCAATGCGTGTGCAACCAGCCAAAGCCCTGCTACCCTCAACACTGAATTCAGTGATGTAAGGCCTGCACCAGCAGGGGCTCCACACGTGTTTTGAAAATTAGCTTTTGGACCGAAGTTGAGCATCCCAAGCCCCTGCGTGCTAGACAAATGGTTGTTCTACATCCTCACACACTTTGAGAATGAGTAACTTCTAGTGGCGCTCCAGCAGGAAAATAGTTCTGTAAAGATGCAGCCGAGGCTTCAAGCTACGGCTCGGTGGCAGGGCTGCCTGGGACACCTCTGCTGCCAAGGGGCTGTTCAGGGCGAGGATCTCTCCGGGGAATGTTGAGTTCCTTGTCCCCAAGTAGGTTTGGCAGGTTTGCAATTTCAGAGATGACGGGTGCAAGCCAGATATTGTTAAGTCGCAGCCAATGCGGAACCTGCAATAGGTATCAAGCTTTAGGCCTTGTGTGCAAGATGAGTCGCGGAGTGGCTTGGTGGTTTCAGCCGCTAAGGCTGCATGTGGGCGATGACGATGGAGCCCCCACGTTGCTTCTTCGCAAGCCTTGGTTTGAATGATTTTGTTGGTGTTTTTTAGAAAGCTGAACTGGTTTCAACAATCTTTCGGATAGACAGCACAGCTACTAACCTGCCTGGACGACTTAGATGTGTTGCTTTTTGCCCACCTGCAGAGTCTGAACCTTCGCCTCCGTTTTGCCACACTTGCTATTGCCATGTTTGCATCCATTTTTGGCTGGTACAACTGAAGCACCCGCAACAACTGAAGCACCCGCAATGTTTCATAAGGGCATCATGCACATTATGAAGCATGTCCCCCCCGCACGCAGCGTCGACTTTGCACTTGCGCATTTTTTCCGTTTCTATGTGCAATGTCTTAGTGTATCGGGTCCTTCATCATGCGTTGGTGTATGTTGGTGTCTTATGCCTCTGATGGTCGGAGGCTCTGGGCCTGCTCACTCAGACTTCACATCTCGTTGCTCAGGCATTGGTTTGCGCAAGCACCTTTGGGGTTGCTCGCTGCCCTCGGGCTCTCCGTATCTCAGTTCAGTTTTGGCATGACATGGCGTGACACAGATCTTGCGTGGTGCATGAAGCAGCAACAACACATAAACGTATGCAACATCATTATGCATCTCCGCGGCTTCTGAGGAGCTACTGCCAAAGCTGCCGGACAACGACACGGACTTAGCAGAAGCCGAGTTCAGGGGCTTCGCGTTTGATTCACGCAGGATTTCGCTGGCCTCGGTTTCCCTTTTGAATTGGGAACAGAAGCCGGACACCAACACTACGAACCCTACACCGAAATGGGCAATTATGGCGGCCGAGGCCAAAGACATTGGTCTGAAGCTCCCTGAAGCTTGGGCTCAGTTTTTCGGCATCTCAATTACGGGTGGCAAGATCGCAGTGGATCCTGCTGGTAAGCTCTGGCTGAGGGGAGGCCGCAATGGCATCGAAGTCAGCCAAACGGAGCGCATGACTCGTCCTCCCCGTGCAGGCCAGCAGCGCTCCAAGGAGACAAACTCCATAGACGGGCGCGTCCCACAGGAATTCCAGCGGCCTGTTGCGGGGCAGCCGGACTTGACGGTTCTTGACAGGATTAACATGTTCCATGGAGACATGGGCCTGGATGTCCTTGGAAATGAGAAGGGCGGACTGGAAGTGAGAGTCACGGCCTCGCTCCAGATGTCCTTGGACACGAAAGCGATGATGGTTTCTGCACTGGCAGCTCTGCCCACAGACGACTTTGGGTACATATTCTTTGCAGACGAGTTCACCTGGCATAAGGATAGCGGGAAGGAGTACAGGGTCATGGCCGTGCTCAATTGTGGTTTTCTCCGCTTGTTCCAGTGGCCTCTTCGTTCTGATTCTATGAGACGGCTGGAGATGAACAAGGGCCAAGCACAGTATAGCTTGGTGGACATGAAAAAGGCGCCGTCCTTCCAGGAGGCCAGACCAGGGCATCCGCCTTGCATACTTCTAACGCGTGTGAAGGCTGGGCTACTATTCGGCGAAAAGGCAGTTACCGAGGGCTTGTGTGCCACAGGCGGCAAAGCTGAAGCCCTTTTCAGAGCGCTCCAGCAACAGATGCAGCGCTTTCAGGATAGTCATGCTAAGCAGTGGAGCTATGGCACGCACCCAGCCGCAAAGCCACAGTACGTTCTGCCAACAGGAACGGCGCAGATGAACCTTTTGGAGGTCCTGAATGGTTTCACATGGAGCGAGTTCCGGCCAGACGTGACCAGCCACCCTGTCCACAACCCTGTCCTGCTGCAAGTGTCCAAAGACTCGCAGGACGGCGTGGGTTCGGAAGAAGCTCTTGTGAAGAGTTCGAGGCCTGGGAAGACTGCCAAGCCTACAAAAACACCGAAAGCACCCTCAAAGACAGGGAGCTTTGAGGCCAAGGCATGCCGTGCCCAAGAAGACCTGAACACTCATCGATATCCGCCTGAAGATTATGGTAATGCATCCGTCCGCTTGGTCTTTCCGGCCACTCCAATTGGTGACGTTCATCTTCTCATACAGAAAATCCAAGTTGTCCAGTTTGACATCGTGGGCGAGTTGGTTCGAAACAGCGACACAACTTTTCTTTTCGAGATTACGGGGAAAGAGGGGCCCGGCACTGCCTTTGCCTATGTTGAAGGACACCCGTTGCCGCTGCATGAACTTGTTGTCGTCTGGGTAATAGTCAGCATGCACCTTGCGGCGGCCAATCTGCATTGTTTGACAGATGTGTCCCTTCGCAATGTTTGAGTGCAAATGATGTGCTTCCCACCGCTGTCTGGGTTTTGTCTGCACTCACTCATGAAAGAGAATGTGTAGAACTTGCTACGCTGCGAGTGGGTCAGGGCCGTTGCTAGCAGATGGGTTCGAAGCCGTTCAGTGCTGTTCGTGCTGGTAGTTGCAGCTTCTCTGTATTGCTTTAGTTTTGTATGTTCCCTCATTCTTCTCATGCTGACAGCCGCATGAGACTGCTTTCATTTGCTTTCATTTTACTGGCATACTTGGTGGTATCGGTCTGTCCAGAAACCAGCAATTGTTTTTCCACTTTTTTCCACCATGTCGCCTGCAACGGCAACCTGATCAGGTGCTTTCTTGCCCAAAAAAACTAGCCCTGCGATAGCATGCATTTGCCTGCAACATGTTGCAGGGACAGATGTGAGCAATGTACATGCCCGGTGAGTTCCTGCACAGTTACCGCAAGCCCTTCACGCTAAGTAATTAGTGAGAGTGCATAAGATAAATGAAGTCTACTGAGTTTCACGCGCTTTAGGTTTGTCACCTGCTGAACATGAAGCCTTTCGAGTGTGAGGGTTTCTGCTTCCAGGAATTGACTTCAAGGCTCCAGACTCGGCGGTGCCTGGCATCACCAAGGCAGCTTCCTCCATTGACAGCTTCTTCCGACCCGTTGCTTGGCCGGATGTTTCGCGCTGCCCCGCCTAGGGACCTTCATTTTGCATCATTTAGATATGTTTGCTGACTTGCGCTGCGTTGCTGTGAAATGGTCATTTGGTGGCGTTTTCGTGGGTAGACTGCAGTTCCGGCATGGTCAGCCGAAGCCGAGATGGCCATTTTGTAGACGTGTGCGGTGGAGAGAAGGTGTGACAAAGTCACCGGCACGGTGAGGTGTCGAGAGAATTGCAAGACAAACCTAAAGATGTCAAAGACAGGAAGGAGCAGACTTGTGCATCGTGGGCTGTTGAGGGTCGAGACTGGGACGCATCCCATCTCTGGGCTAATCGTGCTGGCTTAGTGCCAGACGCAATTCCAAGCATAGCAAATGCGAATTGACCGGTGCTCTGATTTGCGTGCCAGCTCTGAGGTGTTCACCTTTGGCCAAAAAAAGGCTGACAGCCTCAAGGAAGGGCCGCTAATGATGAAGTTCAAGATGCGAGGTGAGTTCAAGCTGAGCGAAGGTCTGGGCCCGAGCAAAGAGGATGCCGCTGTATTTTTGAGCCTAACAAAGTGAATCGCAGCAACTCCAGTGTGTGATATGACTCGCTGGGGGGGTTGGTTGGCGGCAGAAAGCTGTTTCGCAGGTTTGACTGTGTCCAGGGCTGGTCATACCCAGCGTAGCAGTATCTTATGAAACAGCTATACTATGATCGATTCCTCCGAGGTGACCACTGGGAGGTTTTGCCCAAGGCAGTGTCAGACGTAAAGCTGGTGTTCGGGCGAGGTGGCCTCGTACAGGGTTTGATCAACTATTTGGTGTCTGCCTACGGGAACATGGATGCCGCTGGCCGCAATGGTCAATGTTTAAAAAGTGAGCTCCTTCAGCATGGATAAACCAAAACTCTTTTCTCTGGACCCCAGCCTTAGCTTCGTTTGGAGCCGTTGCACCACCCTGTGTCTGCAAGTTACGCTGACTGTAGCAAAAATTACAGAGCACAGCGCACTGAGGCCTATAAAGTAATCATGCATCTGATGCTCAGGAGATCTTTCTCAAATCTGTCTGGCCTTTGCTGGCGAGTGCGATCCCGGAGAGTTTGGGGAAAGTCTTCGTTCAAATCCCCCAGAGGCGCGTGCTTTCAGACCATTTCAAAGAGATGCCGGGTTCAACAGCTTCTTTCTGGCTCCCTGCAGGGTCGGCAAGATGGGCCACAAGTTTGGGATCCAGGGCAGCTGCGTGGTCTGGGATGAGAGCAACGAGAAGTGTGCCACTGACCAGGCAGACGCTTTTGAATACTCTTCCGGCTAATGTGAAGCAAATGTGACAGACGAAAGTGTACAAGATTGTACAAGAAGGCTTTCCACAGGCCACGTGCGCACCAATCCAAAATTCACCAGGTTATACCATGTTCAAGTGAGAAAGAGTATTCCTTGCTGTCTCAGGTTCATGTGCAATTGAAAGACAGCACAACGGTGGCTCTTTTGCCAAAGCCTCTAACGGAGAAGTACCTCGTCAGCCGCTCGGCTAGGTCTCGCAAATCGACTTTTCTCTCTAGTGTTCATCCCCAAAGAATCCTCGGCCGGACAAACCCAACCTCCTCTGCGAAAGTGCGAGCTCTGAGGCCACGACTGCTCCCAAGACGAGTGCGAGGCAGCGGACGGTGGAAGTGTCACGGAAGAAGATCCCTGTTGCCTGTTCTGACCAGCATGTCAAAAGGCTGCGGAGGAGTCACTGCCGCTGACGCTACTGCGCTCCTATGCCAACGCATCTTCTCAGGTGCTCCCGGAGTTGAGGGCCACGGGGGGAGGCTGCAAGGTGAATGCAGGGCTTGAGATGAGGGATCCAGAGTTCAGGGCATGGGCTGGAGTGATAGGTGAGGGTGGGGGACGCAGGGGACGGGTGTTTACGCTTATACCTGCCTGTCTTCTGCATTTGTTTTGGAAATCGGGCGGATTTGGGATTTCTGGAACAAGAGACAATTTGGTCGGGTTTGTTATTTTTGCTTTGGGAGATTCGGGATGGGATTGGATGTTGGATTTTCTTGAACATGATGCGTTTGCGTTTTTGCAGGCTTTTAGAAAGTGGAGGATTGGTTTGGGGCTTGCTCAGACATGTGGGGATCATACGAATTGGCAGCTGCTTGTGGACGCAAGAAGCCACATTGATGAGAAATGTGCAAGGATATGCATCTCGCAACCTTCCTCTCACCCACGGTTCTAAGTTCCAAGAAGAGGATAAGCGAACTGGAGCCAAAGCTGAGTCGTACATCTGGGCCGGCTGTAGGCCTTGAGGTACCGTGTACAGCAAAAGAGCCTGGGTGAGGACTCCTGGTCACAAGAATACAGCTAAGCTTCGTCTAAAGCTTTCAAACATCATGAGGGCTGAAGGCTACCTCGCTCATGTCTCACAGACGACACAAAGTGGAGGGCTTATTCTTGGTGCCTTGAATGCGCATCAATGACACAGGTTCCCGCGGTGTTCGGGGGCACATCTGTGGAGACGTCGTTCGACATGGAGTACTCGTCCACGTTCCTGGGTGAAGTTCTTTGGGAGATGAGAGGTTGAGCTGGGGCTCTGCTTTGCTGCGCCCACTAACCTAGGCGCCTGAATGATGTAGGTGCAAGTAAAAGAACTCCTTGAGATCTGAGAAGCTGCTGCTGGTGTGGAATCGGCTAATTTGAAGGCTGTTCCCCAAAATTTACATGGACTCCAGCGCCAACGCTCCGATGAAGGTCCTGGAGATTGCTTTAGGCCGAACTCCGGGGCACGTAGTTTTAGAGTTTCAAGCTCGATCCTGCCAGTAGTCTGGACTTTGTTCTGGTTGCTGTACGTTCCCAGATGGACATGTCCAACAGTGAAATTTCTGCCATGAGAGAGCAAGATCAGAGCCCGAGAAGTGCTGACCAGAGTCCCTGGTGTTTTTCGGCTTGATGTAAGATCAGTTCATTGAGTCGTAAATGAGTCTGCGCGATGCAGGGAGGGTTCTCTGTAGAGTTGGCAGCTGCAAGTCCTTTGCACTGTGCCTCGCCACTTGCCAATTCTGCACACTAATCATGAACAACATAAGCGTCAGAAGATCACTGCGAAGGAGGCCAGGGCAGCGTTCTGTCCAATCTGCTGCCTGGAGCACCAGGGAAGCTCACAGCAGTGGGCTCAATCGTTGTCATTGAGGGCAACAAGGTGCGCAGGATGACGTAGTCAGGAGCTCCTGTTCAGAAGAGGATTCGGGATGTTTTCTGAGCTCAGAACTTCGTAGCTGGGAAGCAGTACCTTGACACCCGGAGGAGCATTAGACTTGCAAAAAAAGAAGAGTTGCCTCTGATGCACAGAAACTGCGATGTGTCTAAAGCTGCAGCAGGTTGTGATCCCTGAGGCCAGCCGCGTGGCAGGGGGTTGTAGGGTAATCCGTGCTCCTGATTCATAAGGGCGCCACCCCCATCCTTGTATTAAGCTCATCCCAACATTTTCGGGCCGATCCCAGACGTTTCTGAGCCTTTTCAAGTGGCCCCCAGACCTTTTCTGCACCTTTCTGAGCTTTTTTTGGATGGCTCCCAGACCGTTTCTGAGCCTTTTCAAGGTCAGCTCCAGAATCTAATTCAGAATTAAATTAACAGCTAATCATTTGTAAAATCAAAAACTATTCAGAATTGGAATTAAAACTATTTAATGTAAACACCTGTCCATGGCTAGGTGTTTCAATTATCCTAGGGAGTTTTCTATAAATGAAGAGAAACCCTCTCACGCAAGCTCCGAAAGGGGTAGCTCAGGAAGCAATGTTCGAGGCTTTGATTACTAGTCAGCACTAGTAAGCAAATGAGCTTTTCAAAATCAGCTTCGGGGCAAGTGGGGCAAGTGGGTCAAGTGGGTCAAGTGGGTCAAGTGGGGCAAGTGGGTCAAGTGGGGCAAGTGGGGCAAGTGGGCCAAGTGGGTCAAGTGGGGCAAGTGGGTCAAGTGGGGCAAGTGGGGCAAGGGGGACAGGCAAGTGGGGCAAGTGGGGCAGGAGTTCACCCTCTTTCCATTGCTACCGCAGAGGGGAAAATGAACGCGGCCCGTCCCACTCGCCCCACTTGCCCCACTCGCCCCACTCGCTCCACTCGGTTCGGGGCAAGTGGGGCCCGTGCCACGCGCCCCACGCGGCCCTTGCACTCGGTTCGGGGCAAGTGGGGCAAGTGGGTCAAGTGGGTCAAGTCGGTCAAGCGGGGCAAGTGGGTCAAGTGGGGCAAGTCGGACAAGCCAAGCCGGGCAAGTGGGGCAAGCGGGGCAAGTGGGGCATGGGTCAAGTGGGGCAAGTGGGGCAAGTGGGGCAAGTGGAGCAAGTGGGGCAAGTTGGGCAAGGGGGGCAAGTGGGGCAAGTGGGGCAAGGAAGGCAGACCCATTAATCCCCCCCAACGCCGACACTCTCAATCAATTAAGAACCTATTGAAACTCCTCCTGTAGTTTTCTTGAGTTAGGGGATCACTTTAAATCTAGGAGGTTTTTGGCCCAAAAGTGCCTCTGCCTTTACCCTTGTCTTCGACCACAAATTTAGCCCAACAAAGTTTCATAAAATCTACGGAGTTTCATGAACCTGGAGCATGGATTAGTTCTCCTGTCCATCAGCACCAGTCATGTCCTCAACATGTCTTGCGGGCTTTGTTTGAATGTTTACTTGGTGTTTTGCATCAAGTTTGTAGGCACAGCAGGTTTTCAGCGGAGCCAACATTCCTTTATCATAACATGGGCCCTGCTATCCCGCAACAGTCCTTCTTTGGTTTCCACTTGTCGCCTGACAGGTCCGACTGGAGCGCTTGCGGCTGCCACTGCTGTCTTTGGGCAGAATTCCTTGGAAGGGGCGCTTCAGGTGTTGTCGGCCTTCGTACACGAACTCAGAGATTGCAGATGGCAGGTGACATTGCGTGACTTCAAGGATTTTGTTTCATATTTTGCTTGCCATGTCCTATCTCCCAGTTTCTATTCATGGGTTCTCGCCTCCCTATTCATATCTTCAGCAGGTATGATGGTGCCAAAAAGGGTTTTGGACAAAGCCGAGGCTGGGTGGTCAGAGCGAGGCCCTGGAGCTCAATGTCACACTGGCCAAGGTGCGGTCCCCGGTTGCATCTTCCTATGCGCTCAAGCGTCAAGCGCGCTTGTTTCAAAGATGGGAGGAGTACTTATCATCACCACCTGTCAATGTGACAATCGTTGTCAAGGTCGAATACTGAAGCAGCTTGTTTGAATGCAAATCCCAAGAGAAACTTCCTGCTTGAAATAAGGGTCCCGTTGACAAGCAGCAACTTGGACAGGTGTAGTACGTGCTGATGCGTGTTGACACTGAGCCCTTGCAGTGCAATATTGAGATGCATACGCTCACACGTTGCCTTGTGTTGCCCTTCTCTTGCCGGAAGTGTCTGAGACAAAGCGCGAATGCTCAATTTGCCTCAGCGTCTGGCCATCAGGGAGCCCGCTGCTGTTAGGGCTTTTGATCAGTACTTGAGCTTCATTGGTTGTAGGGACCGCAGGTCAAAGCGACGTCTGACGCCCCTGCAAGCCGGGGGCCCAGATCATCGTGCCTTTGCTGTTTTTTCAAAACGAGGCTTTCCCTGAGTGACTTGCACGAGGGCCTGCCAAGTGTCCTGTGTGGCATGAACCCCTTTTGAGGAAGCTCCCAGCTTGCCAGGCATGATCGACGTGATGGTCGCGTATTTTGATGCGACACTGGATCAAGTGTCCCACCTGAAATGGGAACCTGAAAGCTTGAGTTTAGATAGTTTAGTGTTCAGGAATAGCTCCAGCCTCAATGCTTGAACAGCTGACGCGATCTGAGGCCTCAGGCTTAGCTTTCAAAAAGGCGGGGGGGAGTAGCCCCTACCCTCTGCTGGAGGTTACTCTGAACAGTGCCTGGGCAGCAATGTGCAATCTCAGATGTTATAGATGCAGACATGCAGCACAATCCGTTACAGGGATCGTCGGAATGTCCTGGATATGCAGGGTTAAGATGGGGAGTTCAACGGGCTAAATAAGTTCGATGAAAATTACATAAAACAAATTTAGCCATGCAACGGCGCCGGAGCTATCCGCCGGAAAGCCAAGAAAGCTTCGTCAGCGAGATCCTCACGAACGTCGAGCGTGACTTTCCCGAGCCCACGAACGCCTGGACCTTACTCCTGCAATAACTTGTGGGCTGCATGATGGATGGGTTTGACACTCGTACTCTGAAGCGGGTGCCATTGTCCATTATTTAATCAGAGGCTCTAGAAGAGATGATAGAACATACCAGTCGGTTCTTCCTCGGAGCCCAACATTCCGCGTGGCGCATTCCAGCTTGGAGTTCTCGATTTCAGTCCTTACTCCAAGTCCCAGGTCAGGACAGCAGAGCGGGGCCGGGCAGATGGCGTTGTGCCTGAGGCCTTCAGGCAGAAGCAGGCTGGACGAGTATCCAGGGTTGGGATCAGTGGGCAGTTCAAGACTGTTCTCCCAGACTTTTGTTTAGTTGCCGACCCCAGATCTAAAGCTGCTCAGCTTCTGTCCGCGAAGTTGGTCAAGTTGGCCGCAGCAAAATTTCTCAAGCTTCGCCAAAAAAGGCTGTGGCCCCGGGGCAGCTGGACATCCACAAAACGCTGGCTGAGGCACTGAAGTCGTAGCAACCCAGCTAGAGGGGATGCAACATCACAGACTATGCATTTTATGTGGAGCTGACAGAACTCACTATTGCCTCAGATTCGGCACGCATACGATAAAAGCAACATTGAAGTGACGCACCGCGTTCATGACAGCAGCAATGCTTACAACAGAAGTAGTCTTGATTAGTTTTGGGCGAGGCCGCCGCCAGGGTAACTGTGAGTCTGGAGAGTGACCGTGATGCGGACTCGGGCGAAGTGACTGGATTGCACTTGTTTTGACACTGCTTCTGTCACGGAGTTTCAGAGGAAGAGCGTTACTGTACAGGTGCTCATGAAAAGGGCAAGGTAACTTCCACAAATCTTTTTGGTGGCGTTGCAAAGCGAGCGGTCCGGGAATCCTGGAAGCCTTGACTAGGACATGCTCAACGTTTCTGCTCGGGTGGTGCTGCAAACCACGCTGGACCTTGGAAGCAACTTCTGGCGAGCTGTGACAAATAGGAGGACGCGGGATTATGGCTTTGTGCATGTGCCGCTTGCCCGCATGCCCTGAAGAGCATCCAAAGTTGTCAGGGGCAGGTGGCTTATGTGTTTTTTGGGCAAGCCGTAGCTGACCAGGCAGGTTTGCAAACAAGGATAAGTGGTGACCGCAGAATTACATAGGGTAGACCTCAAACTTGCATTCTTCTGCATGTCAGGCCATACGAAAAGATAGGTAGAATTTCATTCAGGTTGGAGGACATGACTTTCACAGGCGCCATGCGGGTTCTTTGCAGTCACAAGGTCTCAGCCCGGCGTATGGGGCCCGCTGGTGCACAGCCGATTGCCAGAGCAGCTTCGTGCATATTAGTGGAACCTTTGGTTGGACTTGTCCAGATTTCGCTTTTCGGAAGAGGTCGTGTGAAGCCGGCTTCTGGTGCTAGGCTAGCTGATGCTGCCAAAGTCGGTCTGCGTGTAGTAGAAGCTGTTATGTTGCATGAAGGGGATGCTGAGCTGGTGCGGAAGCAGGAGCTGCCAAATAGGTTTTGGTACAATATGCCTGTCAAGGTGTTATCCTCTAACGCATTGGCCCCTGGTGGAAAGTCCTGAGGTGTTGCCAAGGTCTTGAAAAGTTACGTATCCTCCATGTGGCACGTGACTAGATTGTGAGGAAGGTTTCCCATCCAAGGACGCCCGTGTTGCTGGAGATTGGGTGTGGTGAATTGCGCATCTTCGACTTTGGCAAAGGTGGGCCCTTCCTCTTTTGGGATTTTTGCTGCGCTCCGCTCTCTTCGTTGAAAACAAGAGCACTATGGACGGCATCTGGATTGCCGGTCGGTGCGCACACACTGAATAAATGTGTTGATACTTTCAAGCAACTTTGAAAGTTGCAAGGGCTGGGGTAGCTTCTTTGACTCGTCTTTACCTCAAGCAAGATTGGAAGCCAACAGGTCGTTGTGAAGGCTATGTCTTAGAACTTCGATCTAGGCCTCTCCGATGACCTTCAAAACGCCTGTACCACAGCTAAAGTTGTTACCTCCCAAAACTCTGGTGATCTGAAGACGTCAGAAATGGGTGGCGGGATTTTTTCCGTATATGTTTTCCGTTTTTTTGTATTTATTTTCCGTTTCTGATATCTTTTGGCTAGGGCAGAGCATGAAACCAAGCAAGCAAGCAAGCAAGCAAGCAAGCAAGCCAAAAACAAGGCAGCCACGAGCAAGCGAGCAAGCAAGCAACATGTCATTGTCATCACATTTTCTCACTCTCACAGGTTTCTCATCCAAGCAAGCAAACAAGGCAGCCACAAGCAAGCCAGCAAGCATGCAAGCAACATGTCTTTGTCATCATATTTTCTCATTCTCACAAGGTGTTCGTGATTGTCTCCGCATGTCATCAAATTTCATCAAGTTATTTAAGACTGCTATTTTCAAGTCAAGTTTATCACCCTTCATCATCTTCATCGTGTTCATTGTCGTCATTATCTTCATTTTTCATCATGTTTCATCAGTTCATCACTTTTAAGCATTTTCTTCCTGTATAATCACAATCTTTCTAACCATGTTCCTTGGAGTTTCATCGCATTTCATCCTTCTTTGTCCTGTTTCTTCATATTCATCATGTTTCAGCATGGTTCATCATGTTTTCATTGTTTCTCGGGAGTTTGCAAAATTTTCATCAGCTTCCTCCGTGTTGCATGTCATTTTCACTATATTTTATCACTTTGAACATATTTCCGCGTTTCAGCACTTTTTACAGTGTTGCCCGCTTTTCATCATGTTCATCATTTTTTTTTTTGTACGGCATGTTCCATGAGTTTTAGTAGTTTTCATCACTCTTCATCATGTTTCCCTTTGTCGTTTCATCCATTTTCCGCATGTTTATCATGTTAATCAGCTTTCATTGCTTTCCGAAGCTACCAGGGCAGCATATGTTGTTCGTTCCGTTCTCGTTCTGAGTAGTGTTGAATCTTGCCACTGCCAGATCAAAAACGTCAGGGGAGAGCACATGCTGAAATCTTCTTCCAGGCCTTGCGAACAGGGGGGTCTGCGCCCCCACAGCCTTTTCATCATAGTTTATTTTCATTAATTTTCATAATTTGTCGTCCATTGTTTATTTCTCAACATCTTTCATCATTTTCATGGTGTTTCATTCCTTTTTATGGATGTTCATCATGTTCTTTGTTTTTCATTATTTCCATCGTTTTCATATGTTCCGGCGTCTTTGATTGGTTGGCATAGTTTCCACATTTTTTCATCATTTCTATCGTTCCATAATTTCTTCATAGTTTTCTTCTATCATGCTCCATCATTTTTAACATTTTTCAGAATGTTCGAGTATTCTCATAGTTTCTATCATGTTGCATGGTTGTCATCACGTCTTCATTTTCTAGTTGGCATGTTTTCTCCTCACTTTCATAATTATTTTCCCATCAGTTTCATCATTCCCTGGTTCTTCATGTGATCTTCATCCTTTTGCACTTATACACTTCCTCCAACTGTTCATCATTTGTCCTAAATTTTTGTCGTCTTCTATGACTTTGCATCGTTTTCATCATTTGCTGAATCGGTCATTTGTGATATTGCTGCAAATTCAACATTTCCAGCATTTTCAGAATTTTTCATTCTTTCAATTGATGAACACAAAATAACCAAGTCTCGCATTTTCCATCATGAAATGATTTTTATGATTTCTCATGAGTTTTCATTAGTTTTCATGGTTTACACTAATAGACATGAGTTTTTCACCCTTTTCCATCATTTTTCCTCGTTCGTCATTCCTTTCTTCGTCATTTTTAACATGTATGATCATTGTTCATAATGTTCATCATCTTTCATCAGTTTTCATCGTTTTCCGGCAGTTTCCATGCTTTTACATGGTTCTTCTCATCATTTTCAGAAACCTTCCCGCAAGAGCGGTGTGTTAGCTTTTTATCCGCACTGCTGCCACAGATGCGAGCGTCTGGGAGCACCCCGTGCTTGCAGCACCCTCCCTGTCCTGCACCACCCGCGCCGCACCGCGCCGCACCCCGTCCTCGCGGCCACCCTCCCTACATACTCGTCACCACCGCTCCACACCCCGTCCTTGCGCCGCACCCCATCCTCGCGGCCGCCCTCCTTGTCCTGCACTGCACAACCCACGCCGCACCGCCGCACCCCAAACTCGCGGACCTTTGTGCCACACACCTGCACCGCACACCAGCGCTGCTGTGCATGCGTGCTGCACCCCGTCCACCCACCACCCGCACCGCACCCCGTCCTCGGGGTTGCACCCGCACCCTGCCCCATACCACCTTTCCCCTTCTGCACGGCATACCCCGCACCCCGTCACCCTCCCTAAAAAGCTGTCACCACCACCCATACCGCAACGCGCCCCGCACACGACCCGCCCCGCACCGGAGCAGCACCCCGAACTGGCCACCCTCCCTGTCCTGGCCGCCACACTACCTGCGCCGCACCGCACCGCATCCCACTGTCCTGCACCACCTGTGCCGCACCACGCCGCACCATCGCGCCGCACCCCGTCCTTACTGCCACCCTCCCTGTCCTGCACCGCGCCGCACCCCATCCTGCCGCCGCCAGTTCCGCGACCAATCTAACCGGAGGCCTTAACCTCCGCAACGCCGCGCCTGTTGGGAAACCTAAAGAAAAACTCAAGCCCAGAGGGGTTTTTGAGGGGAAAAAATTAAACAACAAAACACCATAGGAAACACACAAGTACGAAAAACATCTTGCGACGTGAGGTGTCTCAGGGCATGGGCGCCTTTCAGCTTCTGCAACCCTGCAGAGGGTCCTCTGTTCTCAGCTGCAAAGAAGCATCTCCAGAATCCCTTGCCAACAAAGATCGCCACATCTTGGCCGTTTCAGGATGGTATGGCCTTGCTAAATATTGCTATCTTTCTCGTTCTTCTTTGGAAGCCTACCAGTATGGTGATGCTGAGCTGGAGCAAAGCGGATAGATATCTGCCGTCAAAGGGTGCTGTCATGTTTGATGTCGGACTGCTTGGCAGATGCAAAGCCATACAAAGACTTGCTGCATTCCGTCAACCTTTACGCACCTCGATGGCACTTGGCAAGCAGCTCACTCAGCAAAATCCTGAACGTCATACCTAAAGGGCTGGTTTGCTGGCAGGTTTGCAAGAGAAAGTTCGATTGATTGAATCCTGTCAGCGTTGGTGCTTGGTAGCAGTACAGGTGGTTTCAGGTCGAACGATAGATACATCTTTGCAGGATGCGTTATGTTGTGGATTTTGCGTCCAAGCTTTCTGACTCAGAGGGTGTAATGTCCTCAGAGAGCTTGGTGCACCAGGCTTGGTGCCCTGAGAAGAGATTGCAATAAACACCAGATGTTGAGAGCACGCCAGGCAAGTTTTGATATCGTTTCCGTGTTTGCATACATCTCTGTTGAGCCCACATGGTTTTGGAAACAGCTGGCCTTTGAGGATGTTTGGTCCAACCCAAAGGGCACTCTGGAAACGGAAGAGGCAGGACCTTGAGCCTTGGCTTGAATCATCGAAGTGGAGATTCAAGTCCGGAAATGTCGTTACTGGCGTGTTGCCATAGTCTTCTGACCCGAAGCATGTGCTTGAAAGAGATGCAACTTGGAGCCACTGTTGCCTCAGGCATTTTCATTGCTGAGCTGTGGGAAACGTTCTACTCGGAGAAGAGACTGAGCTGTGTCGAGCCGTTGTGTGTTCACGAGCTTTGCATGTAGCTAGTGCTGCTTAGATCGACATTTTCAGCTACGGACAAACGGAACGCATAAAGAACCAATACGAGTAGTTGCTGTGGATAATCTTTAATGGATCCAAACAGCTAGCAAGGAAAGAAGTTTTCTTGGGACAGGGGCATGTCTTGGCAAGACTGAAGTTGCAAAGGGTCCAGCATGTCCAGCCTCTAAGTTCTGCCTGAAGTAGCATCATGACCCCAGGTACTACTTCTGTGCGGAGGCAGGGGCACGTCACCTGTGAAGGTAGGCTTTTCTGGGATTCCTAACTCCCACCATTGGGATCATGATTTCCCGTTTAAGCATCAAGGGACGAATCTAACGGGTTCCCAAGACATGGGCAGCTACTTTCTGTGTTAGAGTCTCAGCTATTCTTTTTGGTTTTCTCTGTTCTTTCTGCTCATTGTGATGCCTTCATGGTGTCGCTCTGTGTTTAGGCAAAAAGCATGGTCGAGAGGAGATCATGCTCGGTGGCTACAACGTCTATGATGCTCTCACATGAAACCCGGTTTTAGCACGTTCTTCAGATTCCAGGCCCACCATCAAGCCATAGGAAGATCTAGCTCATTTTGGTTCTGTGTTAAATTCTCAACATAGATTGTGTAGGGGCATGTTGCATCGGGATGATGGTTCATGCGGCTGGACGTGTTCTGGGAGCGCTATACAGATCACTACGAGGCATTTTCAGCAACCCACGGTTGACCATTGTCAGGTTGTTCAGGTTGGCTTTTGGCAAGGCTGCAAGCGCGAAGTCAGTGCTTCCCTCTTACCAGAAGTGGCAATGACTGCAAGCCAGAATTCCAACCTGAAAGCCCAATGATACAAGAAGCGCTTTCGGCATTGTAGGGCCCTTTTAGATGGTGTGGGCCCAGTAGCAGTGAGAGGGTGGGAGAGGCCAGGCTCCGCCACAATCTTGAAGCCTCTGCTTTGATTGGGAGGCAACACCCATGCGTCATTTACGCGAAGCCCTGATGCTTCAGTGGGTGCCTGGCGCTTTTTGGCCATTCAGTTTATAGTATCAGCAAGTACTGGTTAGCGATCAACTTTTGGACCTTGAGGATGTGGATTTGGGAGCAACGTCTGCTTCGGGTTGTGTCCAAAGTCCAAGCCACGAAAATAATTGCTCATTGATGATTCGTATTTTCCCAGCCCACAGGCTTTGCTGCCGGTATGAAGGTGCATCCCTTGCTCATAATAGCAAGATGCGTGTGACAAAAGGTTGCAAGTTTGCACGTTCATTTTCTTTTTTTGCCAGACGCGCTTCAGCACGATCTCTCAAGCCATGGAAGATGCGAAGGCCGGTCCGCATGCTTTGCTCGAATGATGTTTGTTCTTTTTGCAGTTGCCCTGTTTCCGGTTGGAATGCCAAGCACACGAGCTATGTCTTTTCAATCTTGGAGGCCCTAGCTTTCAAATGTCCCAGGTGCTTGATTGTTGTTGCAGCAGACATGACGTTTGGAAGCAATTCTGCGAGGCTGCGGACGCAGAGTCTTTTCAGGCCTCACGTGCTGCCGGATACGGAGTTCAGGTGCCCAGCACCCTGGCAAGAGGTGCTTCATGAGGTTTGATTACGCTTTAGGTATGGCTGCTGGATACACGCGCATACTTCAGGGTCTAGCATTGCTTTTATGCCCTGCCGCCCATTCCACAGTCTTCGCAGCGGCATCAAGAGCTGCATCTTTTTTGAAGCACAGAAGTGATGTAGCGCCTTATGATGAGCATCATCATATGAGGTTCGCTCTTCTGTTCCAGGGCACGTGCGGCAGTTTCACAAGGCTTTTCAGTCTGGGGGGAGAGGCATGTGTTCTTGTCCTCTAGGGCGTGCTGCCACCTTCGACTTGCATTATCAGGTGACCTTGACACCTAAAATAGGCAGAACTTGCGGTCATTCAGCCCCAGCATGCCACAAGCCAATGTCCGGGCAAGTGCCTTTACCTACTTTCAAGACTGTGCTGGGGATAGCGGAAACAGAATGCAGAACATCGCATAGAACCAATCACACTGTGCTGGCAAGAGTGTCCGTCCACATTGTTTGCGATTAATTTTGTTTGCATTGCGAGCCTCAGGCAAGCCGAAACAAGCCTTTGCTGATAGCACGTGGTTCCGGGAGCGGCTTGCCGGCATGGTAGGGCAGGATTTTACTCTTGCAATAGTTCTGGACATAGCTGTCCACGGGCTAAATTTTAGGACTGGGACTGTGACGTTGACGGTGCGGGTCCTTTGGTTTGCAAGAGTGTGTGCAGCAGCTACTGCTGGGTCATCCTCTAATCAGCAATCTGCGAAGAGCGGATTGGCATCCTTTTGGGACGCCCTGGGTGTGAAAGTTTGATTATGCAGGTTCAACCCCTTCGACACGAAGAGCTGGCTGCCGGACTTGCCTCCTGCGCACGAAGAGGTCCCCTGCCAGTGATGCAACTTTCTCAATTCAATCCCGAGACTCTAATCTCGCATAATCTTCATGCAACTTGAACATGGCCTTGTGCAATCCGTGCCTCCGAGGACGTTGAGACGCCCCTCCAGCGCTGGGAACATGCAAAGAGTGAATAAGACGCGAACTGGGAACGGCAACGCCCAGACCTCCTGGGTCTTCCAAGCCCAAGAGCTGGCCAAGAAGAGCAGAAAATGTACGGTGTCATGACTTGACTCAGGCAAATGAACAGGCTCTTGCAAGAGCAGACGGTTCTTGACTGTCAAGATGCGGCTGCAAAAAGAAGTGACGAATTTCTATAGGTATTTGGGTTTGTGCTGTTCACTGTAGCAGTGGCCTTTCGAGTTGTGTTGAGAGAAGCTATTGCCTATTGGAGGATGATTGGGCTTGTAAGTGCCAGGCACGTTTGTCGCATATGGAATAGAATAGCAGCAAGCATGGCAAGCGGAAACTGCAAATCAGCAGCAGCTGGCGGACCCAGTCTTCAGCATCAACACTTGAAGAATCTTCTTTCACCCCCCTAGTGCACCCTAGGAGGTTGCACAGAGACTACTCGAACTTCATGCCATCACCCTATGATCCTATCCAATGCTCTTCTCCAGTTCTCCCCTACAGAAGCTGAGACTGCACCCTGGTTTGCTTTTGGTCTAGGATCCAGGCCTTGGTCAAGCCTAGTCACAAGCGGCCCTTACGTGGCGCCATGAGTCTGGCATGGTTGGCATGGCTGGGAAGGGGCGGGCCCGCGGATGGCGGCCAGGGCGCGCTACTGCTGCACCGCGGACCAGATGTGTAGTCGTAGTGAGCTCTATCATGTTCAGGGCCCTGTTGCTGTGTGCGGCGGGGGGAGTTGGGGGCCCCTTCCCACTTTCGGCTGTCTTCGCCTTGGAACCTTTTGTGTGTCTTTGAGTTGCGGTGTTTCAGCGTGCGGCTCAATCTGCTATGTTTGCGGCCGTTTGTTTTAGGGCCTTTTAGTAATGTAATCAACCTTACGTCTCCACAGCCAATCAAATGCCCGGAGCAGCAAAGGAGATAGCGGAGTCCGTGGAACAAGTGCTGACTCGATTGGATGCCGAGATTGACGTTGCGGTGCAGATAACGGATTTGCGGCGAGTTGCTTCCCAGAGAACGGAGGACGGAGATGACGGAGTCTGCAATGTCAGTGGGCTTGCCTAGACGAGATTTCAGGAGCAGGTTGAGGTTGAAGCTTCCTAAGTCTGAATTCAGCGTGTCTTTGAAAGCTTCTGAATTGGCCCTCCGAGGACCCTGCCAGGCTGAGGCAGGATGTTCGGCTGCTGCGGCGCTTGGGGAGGCTTGCGCAAAGCATCCAGGAAGTTGATGCGCGAGGCCTTGCAGACATTGCCTGGTGGCGTGGCAGATTGGCGCTGTGTGAGAACCCGTCGACTCAATCCCTTTGCATTGCATGCGTGCAGCTGACTCCCTAGCTCGAGCCCCAGGAACTGGTGAACACGGTGTAGAGGCCAGGAAAGCCTGGATGCAAGGATGCTTCAGCCCTGGCGGCCATGTCTCAACAGGTCCAGAACAAGCTTCCAGTGTTCCGCCTGCAGTGGCTGGTTCGCCTGTTTTGGTCGTTCGGCAAAGCTTGACTGTGCGGCGACTTGATGACTGATGCCCTTGCGCGGGAGATCAATTAGAAGAGCGAGGATTTTCAAAAGCTCGAAGCGCAGGTGTCGACAAACTTCATTTGGGCCTTGGCTCGTTCCACCTTGCGCGACTTTCTTGTGCGTGCTGAGACTTTCCGCTCGGTAGCCGAGCGGCTTCCGGAGTTTGACGTGCAGGGCACCTCCAACAGAGCCTGAGGACCAGCAACTGCCACGTGGCCAGATGCACCCCTGGCAGCAGCTTTGGCCAACCGGGCAGTCTCCAAATTGCCACAGCTTCCGCCGCAGAACTTATCCAACATAGCCTGGAGACTTACCCGGCCTGTTTTCCGAGAGCTGCTGCTTCTGCAGGGCATTGCAGAAGCGGCTGTGCTGAGTGCTTCCAAGCTCGACCCACAGGGCTTGGCGAACACGGCCTGGGACTCAGCAAAGGCCAGCCCACATGGCAAATTGTCTTCCGCTGCGACTGCCACAGCATCGTTGCAAAAGCTTGGGCAGCTCGAGCCCCAGAGCCCTGCCAATGTCGCGTGGTCTCGGACTACCATCCAGGCCAAGGACAAGGCAGGGCGACAGACGAATCCTCAACAATTAGTTCAGAGTTCAGAGCATGATCCTTGCAGATCCTTGGAGGCCTTGATCCAGATGGCTTGCATGCGTGCTTTGGCCATCCTCGAGGAGTTTTAGCCACTGCCCCTGACCAACCTGATCTGGTCTTCAGCAGGCAGGCAGTGCAGTCTGAAAGGAAGCTAGTTCAGTCCATTGCGTGTTTTCTGTCTGAGCCAGGGCTTCAGTCAGATGGCTCTGCAACTCTTCGTGCAGCCAGCGCCAGAGCTTTGAAGCTCATGTCGCGCCACAACCCGCAGTAGGTTCCATGCCAGGGCTTTGGGTTGTTGGCCGCCTGAATTGAGTATTGCTCACACCTGATCACACTAGTGAAATGCAGGCTGCCAACACTGCCTGGGCTGTTGGCAAAGTGGGACACCTGGGCTCCGTGCTGCTGGAAAGTATGGCTATCCAGGCGTTGCGCGACATCGATGCATTTGATGCCCAAAAGCTGGCAAATATTGCCTGAGCGTGGGCTACGCTTGCCGCGCAGAAGCGCGCGCTATTTGATGCAGTTGGGCAAGCCTCTGGCGTGCTGCTGTCGGAGTCCAGGCCACAGCACTGCTCCAACATGGCCTGGACGTCTGCACGGCTGGTCCATAGCCCTGAGCCTCTGCTGCGCGCAATGGCTGAAACGTTTTGCAGGATCATTCATGAAGCAACCTCGCAGGAGCCATTTAACATTGTATGGACACACGCCAAGACTGGGCTGGCCGTGCAGCTCTTGCAGGAGGTTGCAGGCAGGCAGGTTGCGAAGGATCCTGGCAAAATGGAGGCCCGAGGCCCTGCCAATCTGGCTTGGTCTCTGGCAGCCTTGGGTCAGCCGGGCTGGGCTTTGCTGGACCTCACAGGCTGCCAGCTGCAGGCGCGAACTGCAGAGTGCGGCCCACAGGAGACTGGCACCACAGCTTGGACGCCCGCCACTTCAACGCTCCTAAGCGCACCCCCAACGAATGCACTCGCTGAGCGTGCATTGACCATCCTGGAAGCATCTGAGCCCCAGAACCTCACGAACGTCGTGTGGGCGCCTGCCACAGTGGCTCTACCACAGGAAGCACTCTTCTCGGCAATTGCAGGTGCCCGGGTTGGGGACCACATTTTTGTCCATCTTCACGGTTCAATGAAGTGAGAGACTGTCCTCCGTTCCAGGCGAGGCGATTCGGAAGCTTGCTCACCTCCACGCGCAGAACACCTCCAATATGGCCTAGGCCTTCGCAACGCTCCTGGCAGGAGTGGTGCTGCGTTCCTGCGAATCCTGAGTTTCCGTTGAGACCATGTGCATCCCTCGACTAGAAGTTTGGGTTTGAGTGCAGTGCGCAACTGGAATTGACCTTGTGCATGAATCGTTGCGATTTTTTCAAAGCAGTGACTGGCAGTAACTACAGAAGCTATGTGTGGGTGCCAGTGCCACAACGCATGTTAGTCACACGCTAGCCCGCCATTTGAATTTGAAGATGCATGCAGGGCACGGACCTCTGCTTGCCGCCTTGGGTGCAGCTGCCATATCCTGCAGTCTTGGCCCCCTGGCATTGCAGCGGTAACAAAAAGCAGAAGACAACAATCCAGGGGCATGCTGCAGCTGTTATGGTAAAATTTCATGAAGCATCAGAAAGACAAGGAGTAGCAAGAGCAAACCACTGACTTCTCGTGTGGGATTGCCCGCTGTGGGCATCTGACAGAGTGTTGCAATGACCAGTCATTTGTCATAAATCATAAAAACAATAGTGAGATTGCAGGAGGTGAGAGCAAGGCTCTTGAAGGCTTTCTAGCGGCGAACGCCACGGTCCGGGCGTAGGTGTTCTATGCGTGATGCAAAGTCTGGGCGAAGTACAATTGCTTGGACCTTGCGAATGGTTCAGATCTTGTGGTGTTGGCCTCTATGTTGCAGCGAGAAACACGAGGCTGTACGAATGGCGCAAGATGCATGATAATATGGCGAATCTGAGTGCTTTGTCTTGAGCTGACTATTGCGGCCTGCCCAGGAGGTGGGTTTCCGTAGCCCATATGATGACGTAGCATGCCCTTGGTACATCCCTGCTGTTGTTGAGAGATGTTCAGGATATACACCCCCAAGATCCCGGAAGCATCCCCCCACAACCAACCCTCCAGAAGAAACAGCTCTCAGGCCAACTTGGACCCCAGGCCTTGGCAAACTGTGCCTGGGCACTTGCAGCCGCAGGCGGGGCTCCCAAAGAGGTGCTTAGAACAGATACAAGTTCAGTTTCCATTTTATTTTGCATTTCGTGTTCCATTTGATCCTCAGATACGGTAACTTAACCCTAAACCCTATGTAACCCGTCTAGGTGCAGCAGAAACCCTACAGTCTACAGTCTTTCTGGGGTATGCAGGAACGGTTGGGCCATAATCTTGGTCACACCTAGCCGCAGCTTCAACAACTGCACACGGACGATTTCCGTGCTGCTGGAGGAGAATCCTCATGCCTGAATGAATCCTGGAGGTCTCGTTGATTCGGCTCTCTTCGCTGCCCTTGCCAGCAAGGCCTCAGCTGATCGATTGATTGCAAGGTGATTGGCAGTCTTTGTCAAGGTTTGCTCGTCTGGACCCTGCCGAAAGGTGTTTGAAGAGGGATATGGAGGATGCAGAGGTGTTGCGTGTAGCTTTGTTAGTGGGTGTTGTCAGTTAGGAGGTCATAGGCGCTGCGCAGGGAGGACCCCTCAACGCATTGATGGTGTGAAGCTTAAGGGGAGATGAGCACAGGCTTGAGCATGACCATGCTTGCACCGTTGCCATCTACTGGCTCCGTTTCCATTGGGATAACAAGGAGGCAGCCGGAAATGTTGATGTTCCTAGTTTCCAGGTTGTGCCAGAGCAAGAGTTCCCACTGGATTCGTCGGAATGAAACACGTATCGAACATGAGATTAAGGGAGAAACAGAA